GAGAGAGAGAGAGAGAGAGAGAGAGAGAGAGAGAGAGAGAGAGAGAGAGAGAGAGAGAAAGAGAGAGAGAGAGAGTTTAAATTACGACAACAACAAATGAACGCGCATCATGATGCAAGAAGTCGGGGGTGGCTGCCCTTACCTATCAGTAGTCGATGGCAAGGGTCCGGGGGCCAAGGGTTTGTCGGGGCGTGGTTTCATGTTGGGGATGGTGTGACTGAGGGGTGGGAGCTTTTATTAAGTGCCTTGCGGGTGGCTTGGGGCACAAGGCCGTCTTGAAGGCGAGAAAATTCAGAAATCATGCGCGCACGCTGCACAGTGGTCCCTGGTGGCCGAGCGGGCAAGCATCCATATCGCTGGGCAGGCGGTCCCCCTCACATGGGCAGGCAGTTACGTCTCATGGGCACACCGACCTTTGGATTATGGGTTGTCCGTCGATGGCTCCTGGACTTTAACCGTCGGTCCGCGTACCACACCATCTCACTGGGAGCGCGTCGGGGCAAGGAATGGGCATGCAAAGCACTATAAAGGTTGGTGCAGGTCTGCTGCCGCGCATGTGCTATGCGCCCTCGGTGTCAATGCCTTGTCTCTCCTGAGGGTTGTCTTCCACAACGCTAGGAGTTCATCGCAGTTGCCATCGCTACACGGGTTCGCTATTTGGACAGGTGCCTCCATCGTTGACATAGTAGGCGAGCGCTCACCAATCTCTCTGGGGCGTTGTCCATGTTAGGTGGCACTCTCATTCGCTGTTATTTTCAGGAGGGGTGAGATCCATCGACAGCGCATGGCGCCACGTGGATAGTGGCAGTTGAAAAGGCGAGACAGTGGATCCGGTGAAGGCGGGGGTAGGCGGAGAGGAAGGGGACATGTCCCAAAGTTCAAAAAGTTGCGTGATAGATCAGACGGTGCGATGGGGGCTTAATGTCTCACCCGTGGATGTCCCTTCAATGGAAACGCCGACACTTGGATTTCGGAGGGACGGCGTAAGTAGGGAGTGCTACATTGGACTGACCGCCCTTAGTGTGCCAAGAATTGCACATGTCGGTGGGAGTGGGAGCGTGCGTTCACAAGGGATCGTCATCAATGACTCGGCACCACAAAGGGTTGTCACTGCAACGACGACAATCGTCTCAGCTATGGAACATGTCGACAAAGGACCTGTCCACATGGGACAGACGCGCCATTGGGAACCTTCGAACGCCATCGCTGTCGGAGGCTCGTCAAGGAATGTCATTCAGTTGTCACACGCAGGAGGCGCGACTATCCATGACATCACCAGCACTGGGGGGGAGAGGCGAGAAGAAGGAACTTCAAGGCACAAGGAGGCGGGAAGGAAAGGTGAGAGGGGGGATCAAACTCTGCGGCCGGACGACAATGATGGCGAGCCTCTTAGCAGCAGGAAGAAAAGAACACGACAAGAGGAGTTGGAGGCGAAGTCGAAGCTATGGACAGACGGGAAGACATTCTTAGGAAGTGGACTTGGTCTCTTCATCACGGACATTGTGCACATTTGCACAGACTACTACTACACGATCGTCAATGGTAACGCAGGCGCCACCGCTCCGCACGGCCTCATCATGCCAACCCCCGATGTTCCGTGCTTACGAATCGATGATCCTGCGCAGCAAGAGCCAACTCTTCACCAAGCGAGGAAGACGGAGAACGTCGCCATGCGTGTTATCCACAGGTGGATTTTTAGGTCGTCTTCCAGATACGATGGTTTTGCCCGCCCTGAGTCGTATGTCGTCGTTGATTACCCAACAGATTTGGCGAGAGCAGTGTGGCAGAGTGTGGAGTGGTCGGGGTAGTCTCTCCTAGCATGGTTTATCATACGCTCGCTTTGAAGATGGACATTCCATTGTGGTATGTGGGGGCGTACATCGAGGACAGGCCGGAGGACGATGACATGGCTGCCCATCCGGAATCCACGGTTTTGCGGTTGGCGTCATACTTTCACAATGCGCTCCAAGGCAGCCAATGACCCGACAATGGAAAGATGTCCCAGTCAAGGTAGAGCAGAATTGGGGATGCCTTCCCCCTGCTTCTCGCCGCGTGCATGTGGATCATGTGCATGGGAGGCGACGACGTGCGCTCCCACGAGGAGGCGTCCTACTACGAGCCTATGTGACCGTTTGAACGCGCCAAACGTGCGTTCGCGTTTGAACGTCCACGTTCAAACGGCTTTGGGCCGCGTTCATACGCGCTCAAACGCGTTGTGTGCCACGTGGCACAAATCTATCGAATGCGACTCACCCTGCCATATGAGCGCATGGTGGATCACGGGTGGGGGGATTTGGATTTTCAAAAAAAAAAAAAAAAAAAAAGTGTGGCAGTGTATATCTCCATGTACTAGCTGTAGATTCATTCAATTTTGCTCATCAGATCAAATGAAGTACCATGAGGTCTGCCCCGCTGTTGGAGACTTACCTGCTCTCTCTCTCTCTCTCTCTCTCTCTCTCTCTCTCTCTCTCTCTCTCTCTCTCTCTCTCTCTCTCTCTCTCTCTCTCTCTTTCTCTCACACACACAC